TGTATTTTAATAATGAAATGGAGATCTTTTTTAAAGGTTAAAACCTCATTTAATTTTATGTCTTATAGGGTTTATACTGAGCACAATTTGTGTAACAGTAATAATTCAACTGTAAACCTAAAAATGTACAGCCAATTTTGAAAGAGATGCATCCTAGCTCAGAAAATTGTTATTGACTATGTCAATGCTGATGTAATGAAATGCTTCTTCCAAGTATGTGGTTATTAAATAAATTTTTTAAAAAGTATCTACATCAAATTCAACAGAAGATTGGCTTACCTGGACAAAGCTTTTCCTTTAAAAAAAAGATCTTCAAGGTGTGGTAGCTCACACCTTTAATCCCAGTACTCAGGAGGCAGGTAGATCTCTATGAGAGAGAGGCCAAACTGGGCTACGAAGGGAGTTCTGGGCCACCTAGGGCTACAGGGAGACCCTATCTCAAAACAACAGAGGGGCTGGAGAGGAGATGGCTCAGAGTACCAGCTGCTTTTGCAGAAGACCCAGGTTGGATTTCTAGCACCCACATGCACCTAACAGTGGTCTATAACCCCAGTTCCAGGGGAATCCAGTGCCCTCTTCTGACTCCAAGGGAGGGCATTGCATAATTCAGGTGCATTTACACACATGCAGGCAAACACTAATACTAATAAATAAAAATTTTAAAAAGAAACAATAAATAAAGATCTTTCTTCCTTTCAAAACCTGGCATAGGGGCTGGGGATATATCTCAGGTGGTAGGGTGCTTAAGGTCTTGGTGGTCAAGCCCTAGTATTAAAATAAACAGAAAAAGTGACAAAAACGTAGTATGACATGGGGAGGAAGGGGCAGGGCAGGTCTCGGCCTGGCTTTGGAGGTGGATTCTTAGTCCAGGAAAGAAATCTGACGGGAGGCAGTTGGCCTTCTGAGGATGGTCTGGAAGCTGTGTATCCTTCAGGTGAACAGAGCCAGGAGAAGGTTCAGGAAGAAGAGTGGCTGAGCCAGGGCCCAGGGAGCCCCAAGGACCAGGTCTTACTGTATCTTAGAGGAGGCAGGTCATCTACTCATGGAAGAATCTGGTTCTTGAGGTTCTCATGTCTGGAATTTTGTTGTTGTTGTTCTGTTTTGTTTTGTATTTTGAAAAACAGTCTCTCTGTAGCCCCAACTAACCTGGAACTTATTATGTAAACCAGGCTAGCCTCCATCTCACACAGATTCACCTGTCTCTGCCTCCTGCATGCCAGGATTAGTATGTGCCACCACACCTGACCTTAACTTACCTTTCTTTTTGATCTTTTTGAGACAGGGTCTTCCTGTAGCCCCAGCTGACCTGAACTTGCTATGGAGACCAGGCTGGCCTCGAACTCACAGAGATCCGCCTGCCTCTGCCTCCCGAGTGCTGGGATTACAGGCGTGTGCCACCACGCCCGGCTTAATTTACCTTTTATAGCCCATTTATTCATTGATAGTTTCATACATGTACATAATACATTCTGATTACTTTCATCCCCCATCCCCTCTTCTCCCCTCATTACCACCCCTCCTCCCTACAAGTCCCTTTCCCACATTCAGGCCTCTTTGTTTTGTTTTGTGACCCTCTGAGTTTAACCAGGATGGTCTGAGTAAGGATGGGTATGGAACTATCCTTTGGAGCCTGTGAGCTCACCAGCAGGTCCACAACTGAAGACAGCAACTCCTCCTCCTCCAGAATCCATCAACAGCAAATAAGTCCCTTCACTAGGGTAGGACTCCATGATTGGCTGCTTACAGGCCCAGTCTTGTGCAGGCAGCCATGGCTGCTTTGAGTTCAGGATTGCAGTGGTTATATCATGACCAGAAGATAGTGTTTACAGCCCCATCTCCATCCTCTGTCTCTTACATTCTTTCTGCCCCATCTTCTGCAGTGTACCCTGAGAGAGGGATTTAGATGTCCTATTAGAGAGGAACAAGGTGTGGTGGTTCATACCTGTAATCTCAGCACTTGGGAGGCAGAGGCAGGCAGATTTCTGGGAGCTTAAGGCCAGCCTGGTCTATATAGTGAGTTCCAGGTCAGCCAGGGCTACGTAGTGAGACCCTGTCTCCACAAACAAAAACAAAGAGACAAAAGTAAACAGAGGAAAGGAGCTGTCAGCTACCATTAGGATCAATATTATTTTGCATTTTAGAGCCGATACATGGTAAAAATATGATCTAAGGGCTGGAGAGATGGCTCAGGGGATAAAATGCTTGTCATGCATGCCTGAGGGCCAGAATTCAGATTCCCCAGAACTCATAAAAACCAGACATGGTGGCATTCATCTGTAATCCCAGCACACCTACAGCAAGACTGTAGCAAATTCCTGAAAGCTCTCAGACCAGCTAGCTGGGTGTATGAAGAGGCAAATAACAAAACACTCTGTCTCAAACAAGAGAGGAGGTGAGGGCCAGCACCAAAGTTGTCCTCTGACCCCACACTTGTGCCATATTGTGCATGCACCCTCGCATACATGAACGAATACAAACATATCACATACATGCACATGTACACACATCACACACTCACTAAAAAACAACATAAGTGGAGTACTTTACTTTTAGTTTTGTTTGTCTTGTTTTACTTTTTGATACCGAGTCTCAGACAGCTGGAACTGGCCTCCAGCTTACCATGTAGCCAAGCCTTGAACACCTGATCCTCCGGCCTCTTCCTCTCCAGTGCTGTGATTATGGGCAGGTCCCAGCATGCCTGATGAAAAATACATTCAGTTTTATAAAAATGCACACCTTTGTGCTCACTTCAGATTGGTAAGTCTTCCCAAAGGAGCAAGAATGCCCAGCTCCCTTCCCCACTTTCTGGAGGTAACAGGAAGCATTTGCATTCCTGAGAGGGAGGGCCTGTGAAGTCACCAAGCCCAGGGAAGCTAGGAGGTTACATCAGGCCTAGGGTAGGGGATCAAGGGAGTCCCATCCCATTATCCTCACTCGAGGCCACTCATGGGGCTCCTGAGCTCTGCTGCCCATTATAGTCACCTGGGGTGGGGGTGGGGCCGAGAGGTGAGCTCAGAATCAGAATCTCAAGGCAGGTAGGGCATGGATGTTTTCCCAGCTCCTAGCATTCTCCTGGGGCAGCCTAGGCTGAGCTCCTCAGTGCCAAAGGGGAGAAGAAAGGTTTTATCTGGGTAGACAGCTGGCTGGTGAGGGGGAAGAAGGAACCTGAGGAGGGCTAATCCTCACTCCTTTCTCTCTGGATCTTACCTAAAACCTGGGAAACCAACGATCCGAAGCAGATCACAGCTGCCCAGTGTGGCTCAGCACCTACAGAAGGCTTTTGTTCCCAGGCAAACTACTAGACCCAAGTCCTCCCACCCGCTCCCTGGAGGCTGCTGGGATAATGGCTGGCAAACAGAAGAACAGCTCAGCTCCCTTTTGAATGAGCCCAGGCTCCTATGCTGTCCCTCTGCCCTGAGGCCACCTAGTACCTGGGAACTGGGGAATAACCACTTAACTCCCTTTAGAAGAGGCAGGCTGGCACAGGATCCTTTGCCTTCCTCCCTTAGGTAACAATGGCTGGCATTCAGAAGGTCCCTTTCATGTAGACTAACCTACCCCTCTGTTGGACCCCTTTCAATGATCTAGAGAATGAAGTTCTGTTATACAGAGGCAGAGACCAAGGTTCTCAGAAATCTAATAACTGCCCAAGACTAGACAGCTAGCAAGAAACCGGGCTGGATGCAAACCCCAAGAGCCGGACTTCCAAGCCGTGTAGCACCCGTCACCAGCTGCAGAGCTGTGGGCACACCCCACCAAGGAGGCAGGGAATTCTCTCTTTGCAGTCCTAATGCCTGCCCCTCAGCCTTTGTTGTTGTTGTTTCTGTGTCTTGAGACAGAGTCTGGTGTAGTCCAGGCTAGCTTCAAACTATGTAGTGGAGGGTGGCCTTGAACCCTTGATCCTCCTGTCTCAGCCTCCAGCGTACTGGGATTACCAGCATGTGCTGTCACATCTACCCCTGGGGTCTTGGCAAGAAACCCCTCAGGTGGCCACAATTCCAGGGGCTTTGGTATGAAACCCCTCAGATGGCCACAATTCTGGGGGCTGGACATTTTTCCTGTTTTATATTCTCATACTTCAACCATCCCATCCCTATAAAGTCCACATTCTGCCGCTCCCTGAGGGATCTCCTTTGTTTCCGGGTTTGTGTAGCTGGGCAGTACATAACTGAGTAACAGTATTCTGTGTGTCTAAGGAGGGAGTTATGTTCCAGAGTAGAGAGGAGGAAGGATCTAAGGAACAAACAGCTTTGGGACCCTAACACTTTGTCAGCCCCAGAGCTGAGGGAACCAGTCCACAAGCTTCAAAGGGGCTGGTTGGACTCACTGACAGGACTGAACCAGACACCCTGCTTACCTCTGCCTTCTTCCCCCAGGAGCATCAGACCACCTCGAACATGCTTTCAACCCAAGGCATCAAATTCTGGAATCAGAAAGGTATGGCAGATAGCCACTGTGGGGCAGTTTGGGCATCTTCTAGTGAGTGGATTGGGGGTGGTGGTGGGAAACAAACCAGAGTATTCTCATAAAGCTAGGCCCAAGTGGCCTGGACTCCACCAGCACAGAGATAAACATCCATCTATCCCCTCAGGGCATCTGAGACCTGACCACAAGGGTTTCCTGTACCCCAACAGAAAATGGATAGATAAGTCTCCCAGAGGTGTAGACAGCTGAAAAGTTCTTGACAGTCTGTATTAGTTACTTTTCTGTTGCTATGATAAAACTCCACGACCAAGGCAACTTATAAAAGGAAGATTTTATTTGGTTTACAGTTCCAGAGGGAACGTTCCTAATGGTAGGGAGGCAGAGCAGCAGGTGTGACAGCAGGATCAGGAAGCTGAGTGCTTACATCTTCAACTGCAGACACAAAACAGAGGTCAAACTGGAGGTGAGGCAAGACCCCAGTGCAAGGAAACACATCCTAAAGGCTTCATAGCCGCCCCCAAACAGCAGGGGACCAAGTATTCAAATACTTGAGCCAATTGGTGGGTATTTCTCATTCAAACAACCAAAGAGTCTTAAAATTGTATCTTTTAAAAAGATTTTTTTTAATATTTTATTAGCTGGAGCCGGGCGTGGTAGTGCACACCTTTAGTCCCGGCAACTCAGGAGGCAGAGACAGGTGGATCTCTGTGAGTTTGAGGCCAGCTTGGTCTACATAGTGAGTTCGAGGACAGCTGGGACTACAGGGTGACCCTGTCTCAAAAAGACCAAAAAAAATGTATTATTTTTATTTTATGTGTATGAGTGGATTGCCTACAAGTGATGCAGTGCCCACAAAGGTCAGAAGAGGGCACCAGATCCCCTGGAACTGGAGTTACGAATGGTTGTTAGCTGCCATTTGGGTGCTGGGAATCGAACCTGGATCCTTTGCAAGAGCAGCCAGTGCTCTTAACTACTGAGTCATCTCTCCAGCCCAGCATTTATTTTTTAATTATATGTATGTGCCTGTGTGTAGGTATGTGCATGTGAGTGCAGGTGCCCACAGAGGCTAGAGGCATCAGATCCCCCTGGAGCTGGAGTTAAGGAGGTTGTGAGTCACCCAACATGGGGTTCTGGGAACAAAACACAAGAGCAGTATGCACATATTCACCTCTCCAACCCCTTAAAATTGCATCCTCTTTAAAATTGTTTGTTTGTTTGAGACAGGGTCTCCCTGTAGCCTCAGCTGACCTGGAACTGCCATGTAGACCAGGCTGGCCTCAATCTCACAGACCCACCTGCCTCTGCCTCCCAAGTGCTGGGATTAAAGGTGTATGTCACCATGCCTGGCTTAAAATTGTATATTAATGGCAGATGGATTTCATACTCTGGTCCTCCAGATATCCATTCATGATAGGTCCCATTTAAACTGCTCACCTTGCAGTAAACTCCAGGCTCTGGGAAAGTGCCCCATGTTTGCCTAGAGAATCCTAGACCTTCAGGATTCTGGCTGGTCACTCTACTAGCCATACAATTGGTGTGCAGCATAGCCCTGCATTCCCAAACTCACAGAAACCCCAGGCTCCTCCAGAGGAGCAAATGGGACAAAGAGCAGTTATGGACCTTGCACAGGCTCACTCAGCAGTAAGCGGTGCCATGGGATGGGAGCCCTGATCTGACCACAGAGCTTGCTGTTCATCAGGTAGTATACAGCCTTCCTCACCACCTCCGCTCCTCACACTGTGGTTGAGCTGGGTGATCTTTGTGTCTTTATGGATTAGTACAGGTTTAAGAGTTGTTTTTGGTACCCAAGAGACTAAAGTAGGACGTGTTGATTGATGTCTCCGGGGCTCAGGGAGAATACAAGAGCTTATAGTGATAGGCTAGACATTCAGAGACAAAGCAAGAGGTCCTGAGCAGGTGACGGAGGACGGTGTGTAAAGAACAGAAGGCAACGGGCACTGGACTCGCTGGCCAAAGAGAAGCCTCAAACATCTTGAGTGCTTGACCGGGTTCACCTTTAAGTTTCCCAAAGTACTTTTTTCTGCCTCCAGCTACTTGGTGCTAATTGATACGTAGCTCCAGCTAGTTTAAAACAGAGGCACTGATGTGACTTTTGAACACATATAGCAAAGTGTTCTGGAACAACCTGGTCCTGATGTATGAGGTACCACAAAACCAAAGAAAGACAGGCATACAGATCTGGGATCGGGTGGAGTGTGTACTGGGAGTTATTGATGAAGCAAGGCTCTGGGCAGCAGTGAGGCCAGTTTGGATCAGCAAGAGGGATTTGTTTTCAATTTTTTAAAAATTCATTTATCTTTACTTTATGTGTATGAGTGTTTTTGCCTTCATGTATATAAAGGCACCATGTGTATACAGTGCTCTCAGAGACCAGAAGAAGGTGGTGGACTGCCTGGGACTGGAGTTACATATGGTTGTTAGCCACCACATAGGTGCTGGGAACTGAACCTGGGTCCTCTGCAAGAGTAGCCAGTGCTCTTATCCGCTGAGCCATCTCTCCAGCCCCCAAAAGAGGTATTTATTTATGGATTAGAACAAAGGCAGTTTCATCCTAACCGCATGTACCTGGTATATTAAGATATATCGGAGTCAAGTGCATCCTTTGCTGGTGAAAACACTAGACAGATGCAGAAACTCACACCAACAGAACTGAACCACATAGGACTATTCGAAACGCAAAGGGGCGTCCTTCAGCTTTGTGACCTATGCCCTGGGCTCACCCAGTCACACCTGCTATTACAACTTCCTGTCTGACTTCAGAAAACCTCCTTCTACCATTTCGCCATAGCTCACCAACTGTTACCCTTCAGACACCAACTTCCAAAAAACAAACCTCAAACTTTTCTCAAGGAAAAGTGCCATAGTTCAGATGGAAGTCCTGTTCTCTTTGACCATGGTCCATGCCCGTCTCCCTCAAATTCCTATCTTTAGTTTAATGCATCACTGACAACATTCTGTTACACTATTCATCCCATCTTCTGTGGACCCTGTGGTTTGCATTGCATCATTTTGCATAGTGTGGGACGCTCACATGTGGCATTAGGGCAGAAATGACTTGCACAGCAGTTTCCTGTTCTGTCCTTTGATCAACAGCTTAACAAAAAAACTTGTTCAGAATTAGCAGAGCCCTACCTGGCCCAAGGCTTTGTGGAGAAGCAACAGATTAGAATGCTGCCTGCTGAGAACCTCATTCCTTCAAGGGCCCTGAGTATAGAGGGGCTGTTTTCATTTCCTGAGGCTCCTAGAACACAGAGCACGGACTAGGTGACATAAGACAACACAAATCAGGGCTGGAGAGATGCCTCAGCGGTTAAGGGTACTTACTGCTTTTCCAGAGGACCCAAGTTTGGTTCCTAGTACTCACATGCCTCACATCCACCTGTAACCAGCTCCAGATGGAGCCAATGCCTCTAGCCTCTGTGGGAACCTTCACTCAAGTGTACACACACACACACACACACACACACACACACACTTTACAACGAAAACAAAAATGGTAATCAAATTTTCCCTGGTCCAATATCAAATCAGGGAGCCATGCTCCCCGCAAGGCTCTGAGAGCCCCCCCGCCCCCGCCTCACCTCTCCCTGTCTTCCCAGGTGTCACTTGACTTCTGTCTGCATCACTCTGATTCTGCCTCCATCATTGCATGGCCCCCATTTTTCACATGGCCTCATTGTAAGGAGACAACTGCACAGTCATTGCTACTGTAACGCAACATATAAGCATCCCACACTAGGCCGAGAAAAGAAAAAAAAAATCCAAGAGACTGGATTTCGGGCCAGCCTAAGCCCATAGGATCACATTCTGACTATATCTACAAAATCTGATTTCCAAACAATGTCATTGAGCTTGTTTTCCTTTTGCCATCAGAGACATCGGAGAGAACGACTTCAGAGGAAAGATGCATGTAGGCTCATGTCTCAAAGATTTCAGGCCATGGTTGCCTGGACCCATTGTTTCTAAAGTAAAGCTGATCATCATGGAGGGTGGGGAGACAGGTGGTAGAACTGAATGGTTCATTTGGGGGAGCCAGTCAGCAGGGTGAGAGAATAGGTGGACCCCAGGACAAGCTATAACCCCCAAAATGTGCCCCAGTGGCCTACTTCCTCCAATTAGGGCCTTACCTTGGAAGTTTCTACCACCTTCCACAATGCTGACAAATTATTCCTCCATCCATGGGTTAATCATTCATGATGGTAGAGATCTCATGGTCCAAACACCTCTCAGTGCTTGGATCCACCAGCTGAGAACAAAGACTCCTGAATGACATTTGAGGTTCACAGTGGACATAAGCACTGGGGTCCTGCATATAGGCAACCCAGGGAAGAAGAGTGGTTACACCTCTTACCAGGTTGCTGGACCACAGGCCATTTCAGCCAGAAGATCTGGGAGAAGGAGGCTAGAGAGATGGCTCATTGGTTAATAGAACTGGTTGCTCTTACAGAGGACCTCGGGTTAGATTCCCAGCACCTGCATGGTGGCTAATAACCATTTGTAATTCCAGTTCCAGGGGATCCGATGCTTTCTTCTGACCTCCAAGGGCATTGTAAATTGGGTGTACTTACATACATGCAGGCAATACACTCATACACATAAAATAAAAATAATAAAGTTTTTTGGGTTTTTTTGGGGGGGGTTGGTCTTTTTGAGACGGGGTCTCCCTGTAGCCCCAGCTGGCCTATGTAGACCACTGTGTAGACCAGGCTGGCTTCAAACTCACAGAGATCCGTCTGCCTCTGCCTCCCGAGTGCTGGGATTAAAGGTGTGCGCCACCACACTTGGCAATAAAATATTTTTTAAAAAGATCCGAGAGTGGCCCTAGTCTAGAGGGAGAAGGGGAAGCACATCCCTCTTAACTCTCTGTGTGGTCTGTAGGCTCCTGGGGAGAGGCACCCTCACCTCCTACCCATAACCCTCTCCTCTTCTCACAGAACTGGTCTTGCCAGGACTCACTTCGCCTGGCTGTTCAGCGGGACCACCACTTCCGGAGCCTGTTTGACTTCTCCACCCCAGTGCTACTGTGGGGTGGTCTGTTCACACCTAAGCTCTGGGACAATCTGAGCCAGCTCAAAGTCCCATATGGATGGTGGGGGCTCTCCCAAAAAGGTAACCTGCTACCCGCTGCCTCACCCCTGCCTTCTGCCTCAGCTGACCCCGTCTTGCCTTTGTGTCTAGTGTGTGCCCACTCTGGCTGCCTTCACAGCATCAGTGATGTATATGGCCTTTTGGGCTCCTCTCTCTTTCCAGAACCCCCAGCTCTCTGACTCCTGCCTCTCCCGCCTCCTTTGTCCAAGCACCCAGGACTCAAGGTGTAGGCTGAAGTGCCCCTGCCAAGTGGCTCTTACCATTCTGGGACCTCCCTGATGTGAAAAGTATCCAGTGTCCCATGGTGTCCTTAGGTCAAAGGTCAAGAGGCCTCAACAGCACCATCATGGCTGCTTGTTTCATAAACCACCACACTCAGGCCCACCACGTGCCTCCAATGCTTTACTTTTGGAGTGTACGCTGTCTTAGGGGACTAATTATTCCATTTCTCCAAGACGCTGAGGGCCCAGCCAAGCTCCCCTATCTTCTTCAACCCCTACACACTGACTCCCATTGTCCCACTCCCCTGCACTCTGGGATGGAATGGGATGGAATGGGATGAAATGGGATGGGAGCCAGCCTCCATGAGGTAGGTACCAGGCCACATAATCTAGAGCAGGCCAGGCAGCAGCCCTCCTTATGGCTCCCCTTTGTCTTCACAGACATCGTCTCCACCCTGAGCCTTCTGAACAGCACAGAGAGCGCAGAGCTATTTGCTACCTCCAGAGAGCCACCTCGAAGCTGCATTCGGTGTGCCGTGGTTGGTAACGGAGGCATCCTGAACGGGTCCCATCAGGGTCAGAAAATCGATGCCCATGACTATGTGTTCAGGTACGAGGGCAGGGGCCAGGGAGCTGGGTGGACAGCCCTGTTCTGCTAGCCGAGACAGCACCTTCCCTGAGGTCAGGGCAGAGCAGCTGCCAACCTAAGGCATCTCAGCAGGTGTGATGGGTAGATGTTCTGGACAGAGGCTCAGCCCACCCTGAAGACAGAACATGGGTGCCCATCACAGGGGGACTCAGGAGGAAGGGTCCCTGGGACAGGTTTACCCAGTCAGAGGGCACCCCTCAATGGCCCTTGGACACAGATGCTCCTGTGGGCTGAAGGACTGGTACAAATGAGGGATGGGGAAAGGTGCGGATCCAAGCTGTAGAGATGGATGTGAAGGGGACAGCAGGGTGCAGCCACAAAGATGCTGATGAGCTTCTGCTGGGGCCAGACTCAATGGAGCAGTGATCAAAGGTTTTGAGCGTGATGTGGGCACCAAGACCTCCTTCTACGGTTTCACTGTGAACACAATGAAGAACTCCCTCATCTCCTACCAGCGCCTGGGTTTCACCTCTGTGCCAAAGGGGAAGGTAAGGCCTGCAATAAGTGCAGCATTGTGACTGGCACCTTAGCATCCTTGGGTGGGCTCCAGGAGCTCCCAGACTTCTGTCCAATGGATGGAGGGTTAGGTGCCAATATTGTAGCCACCAGAGATGGAGTTATTACAGCTGAAGGCAGATTTGACAGGGATTCCCCCTTCTTTCAGGGGATTCAGATGCTCCTCTAGAGCATAAAAGGGGAGTAGCTAATATTTACTGAATATAGATGGATACCATGTGAACCCCACTTTACTGGGAAGAGACAGAAGCTCAGTGCCCTTTCGCTCAGCAAGTCAGAAGGAGGCCAGAGTTCAAACCCAGGCTGCCTGGGTTTCAAACCCTAGAGTTCAAACCCTAGAGCTCCCTTATCTATGCAGAGTGCGAAGGGGTGTTTATTGAGCACCACTGTTACTAGCATGTTACAGAGTATGGATGCAGTTGTCGCAGCAGCCCTGCCCCAAGGGGGACTCCACCATATCCACTTCAGGTGGCAAAGTTAAAATGCTGAGACTTTTGGGAAGGGGTCCAAGGCCACCCATTTCCCCACACATCAGAATGTGTGGCCTCTTGACCTCTCACTACAGCCCTGTGTGGGAAACTGAGGTTCTAAGAGACCGAGGAGCAGGCCTGGGTCACAGCTTGTGAGTGCAGGAGCCAGCTCGGAGGCCTTCTACACCTGGAGTTTTCCACTGTCCTTCCTTACCAGAACTCCACACTTTCTGCCTTAAGCACTGTGGGTACTACATGAAGGGTAAGGGAGATCACAGGAAAGGGGTTCTCTGGTCATGAGAGATCGAAGTGTGGCCACAGTACCACACTAGTAGTGGGAGTCTACGGCTCTGTAACCAATGACCCCCACACTTTAAACGATAAGCCTTTATCAGCTCATTATGCCAAGGGTTGGGAATTTGGGAGCAGCTTAGCAAGGGGTTCTGGCTCAGGCATCTCTCAAGGAGTGGATTGATGTCATCTGAAGGCTGAAGTGGTGCTGGAATCAGGATGGCCCTGTTACAGGTCTATTTTACCTGGACTCTTCTGGAGATCCCTCAAGAGACCTTATGATGAGACAGCTAACTTCCCTCAGACTGAGTGATTCAGACAGAGCAAGGAAGCCTTGGCACCTTTTACGGCCTAATCTTCAGAGTCTCTGTCAGATCAGGAGTTCCTCGGCTGCACAGGCAGTCGAGGCCAGCCTGGACTACATAAAACCTGATCTCAAAAAACAAACAAAAATGATTCTATGTGGTAGTCACTAAGTTCAGCCAATACTCAAGGGGGTGGTAATGAGGCTTCCCCTATTACAGGGAGGGCTATCAAAGGATTTGTGAACCTGTATTGAAACCACCACAGTACCTGCAATATGGGAATAAAGCCTTGTGAGGGGACCTCTGGCAGCTTAGGGGGTAAGGCTAAGTCGGAGGACTGTTTTCTCTGAAGCTGAACGTGGCCTTGTCTGATCCCTTGACAGGACCTGCGCTACATCTTCATCCCCTCGAGCATCCGTGAGTACCTGATGCTGAGGTCTGCCATTCTGGGTGTGCCTGTTCCCCAGGGCCCTGATAAAGGGAGCAGGTGAGCTGCCGAGGGTACTGCTGTGGCATGGGGCGGGTAACGCTGCCTCCCCTTGCTCCCAGGGACCAGAGTGGAGTTGAAATGCTGGGTCATGGTTCTTCACTCTTGCTATCATGTGAGAAGCTGGCTGAAGGGAGACAAAAATCCCACCCTACCCAAATCCATAAGCCCTATTTATTCAGCATACTAGGGACTGGGCTCTGGGTAATGTGTTCTCAAGACCCTTGGATGAGATGAGCTATGGGGCTCAGAGAACACCACAGTGGATGGAGAGGTAGTGCTTGACCTCCTGAGGTACAGCCATTAAAACTAAAGGCCCATTTGACAGGGACTGCTTTCAAGGTGGCTCATAGCTCAGGTGGCCCTACGGGTCCCCTGCTGGTTGAGAGGTAGTTTTTCCAAGCAGAGCGAGCAGACCTTGGGCTGCTGTGTCCAGCTCTGACCCAGCTCTCTGCTGCTGGAGGACATACAGGCGGCAGCAGCAGAGCCCTTTCCTCAGCTGGGTAGCTGGCACTGAGCACACTGAGCCAGTGTCCCTGCACTCATCCTGGGAGGCAGGGCCTCCTCCTCAGGACCCCGCCCAGGACACAGGAGCACTGGCTCCCCAGGCTCTGTCCTGAGAGGTGGCAACAAAGGGTGCTGTGTCTTCTCCCCCACCTTCCTGGGCAGCAGGCCTGGGTCCAGCTGCCTTGATCCATGTCTGGCCCTGGCCTGAATCTGCTCCCTGCCTTCCCAATGTCTTGTGCCTGGCTCAGGTGCTTAGACACCTGCCACTACTATGGTGAAGATGGCCTGTCTCCTCTTGCGGCCCTCAGGACATGTCACCTTCTCTCCCCAGAGAGCAGCTTTGGAGGTGGTCTTTATGAGTTGTCATAGAAACTGGGCCAGTGTCCAGCCCCTGATGGGTGCCCCACCCCTGCCCTGTGATGACCTAACAATTGCTCCCTGGTGCTACTATTGGTCATGAGAGCTGAGGACAGGTTCTATGACTCCCTGGGGATAAGCTCTTGGGGGAACCTCCTCAGAGACCCCGGGTGGACATAAGCCTCCGTAACACCAATGAGCTCCCCATCCCACACCCCTAACCCATCCCCTACCCAGTCCCCGTCACAGTCCCGTTCTAACCATGCTGATAGTGCTTCGAACCAGCAGCCCCTTCCTAGCTCTGGAGGCTCAGCCCCTTCCCCTTCCCCCACCCGGGGCCCCTCTTCCCGCCCACCCTCTCATGCTCCCACCCCAGCTACCTCACAGCCCTCCTCCCGGGCTTCCTCCCAGTCTCCCAGTCCTCATGTGCCCCGAGGGCCTTCCCAAGCCCCTACTCCACCCGCCTCCAACTCGCCCTCCCAGACTGGATTAAAATCCCTCTCTCGAAACCCTTCCCTGACTCCCTCAGTGCCTGTGACAAGGTCCCCTTCCTACAGTCACGCCAACTCGGCCTCCTACTTCTGCCCCATGGGCCGCACTCCTAACATCCCTTCCTACATCGCCCCCTACGTGCCTCGCTTCGTGAAGGAGGGCCCCTTTTTCCAGCCCCCCACATCACCCCTTCCACAAAATGGGTGGTTTCCCTGCCAGGCCCAGGAAAGCCAGAGGCCACCACCGCCACCTCCCGACTCCCTCTACTTCCCCCTCCTCCCGCCACCCCCTCACCTCCCCCAGGTGAACTGCTCCTACCCCACGCCTCCAGCCCTGTTCATACCCCCATCCTCCATGTCCTACTCTCCACCGACTGAGGTCCTGCTGAAGGGGAAGCCACACGTGGTGCCCTCCGTGCTGCCAGCCACCTTCTACACCCCCTTCTCCCGCTTCTACGCCCAGCCCCAGCCCTACCGCTACCGCCGGCGCCTAACACTCCCCTCGCTCTCCCTTCAATACGATGGCTCTGGACGCTCTGTCCACTTCTATCGTGGGACCTAGGCCTTACACCTACTTTGGACCAGAAACCTCTGCCTGTAAATTCAAGCTCCTGCATCCAGACTTCATCGGCTATCTGACAGAGAGGTATGGGAATGGAGACGGGGTGGGAGGCGGGAAGACTGGGTGCGGAGTGCCGGGTGACTGAAGGGGAGCACCGAGTGCTTCTGTTTCATTTGCTTCTGATTTTATTTGCTACCGTGATGGAGATAGTGCTTGACATAACATACAGGGTCAACAGGACATGAACAAGAAACTAGGGATGACAGAAGGAAGTTTATGTTCCAGGGACCTTCACAGAAGCACACACCGGGTACTCGGGAGCCAGGCATACAGCCGTTAGAAACCCAGCCAGCCCAAAGCTGGAATAAACAGGCTGACCCCGCTTCCTTCTGCCAGGAAGGAATCCTGAAGGTGGATGGGGTGTGTAGTTGGGTTTGTCTGGACACATTTTGGGTTGTCATGGCAGGGAGTGACCTTATATAGGTGGTGGCCAAGGGTCTGCCAAACATCCTCTTGTGCAGTTAAAGCACTATTTGGCCCAGTGCTAGTTGTCTTGTGGTTGAGAAACCCCCCGTAGACCAGAGGTAAACATCTTAGAATGGAGCAGATGGAGTAGGTGTACAGGTGGATGGAGGGAGGAGGCCCCGCAGTTGTAGCCCCACTCTGCATAGGAAGGATCGGACCCTGCCAGTGCAGCAACCTGCTTGACCAAGCTTAGACATCAATCCCAGGTCTGCAGTCAGGGCCTGTGGGCACTGTCACACCAGGAAACCCAGAGCCAGGATCTGAGTGAGCTTCACCACACGTTCCTGATTCCTGTTTGGTCAAGATGTGGAGGGGAGAGAAACCAGGTCATCAGTGCCTAACTAAGCATTGTGGCTACGAGGGCAAAACAGAGTTGTAGAGTTAGTGGGAGTGGGATAAAGGGGAGGGTCTCTCTTGGGGTTCCTCTCTCTCAACCCCCATAATGTGTCTCATCCCAAAACCCCTGCACTTAGTTTACTTGGACGTTCCCCAAATAGAGAACTGGTTGGAGAGGGTGAGCATTTGAGCACTTCTCCAGCCTGAGTGGGTAGCCTGGAGCCCAGTAGGTAATACAGCCAGCACACTGGGATTCAAAACCTGTGTGCGTGTGCGTGTGTGTGCACGCACACCCAGTGGGTAATACAGCCAGCACACTGGGATTCAAAACCTGTGTACCTGTGTGCGTGTGCGAGAGAGAGAAAGAGAGAGAGAGAGAGAGCACGAGCAGACTATATGAGCAACAAGCAGGAACACGGGAAGGTTGGTGCAGCACTGCATGGGTTAGTCCTCGATCTCCACCTTGAGACAAGGCCTCTTGTCCCCATGGCATATCCAGGCAAATTGACCTTGGGCTCTCCCCGTCTCCCATCTCATCACAGAAGGGCTGGGATTACAGATACACGCTAAGACACCCCAGCTTCACATGGTTTCCGGGGATCCAAACACGGGTCTTCATTTTTCAGGCAGGTGCTTTACCTACCGAGCCACCTCCCCAGCCAGCCACCTTGAACACCTCTTTCCTTCCAGGTTTTTGAAATCAAAGTTGATCAACACCTATCTTGACATATATATGCCTAGTACCGGAGCCCTTATGCTGCTAACAGCCTTGCACACCTGTGACCAGGTAGGTCCTCTCTAGGAGCCCCTGGCACAGCATAGCTGTGAACAGCACTCCCTATGGCCTGACAGCTCTCCCCAAGGCCAGCCACCTCAGGCAGGAGAGTTCCTGCCTGTTGTCCTCCCTGCTATCTAGAAGGGTGGGGTCCTGGGTCAGTCCTGCCTAACTTCCACATCCATCCTCCCGGCCTGCTTCCCTCGTTTTCTACGTGATATTTAAGACACAAATGATCACACCGCTCTTCCGAAAGCTAAATCTTGACAGAACTGGGTAGGGGGATGCCCTTTAATGGGGACATCCTAGAGCTGGCATGGGGCACAGGTTCCTGGTAGGATGTTACCCACCTGAAGAGCATAGAGGCAGAGAGAGGCTGAGTGCCAGTCTTCAAAGACAAGTTATGGGCTGTGGAAGTCATGTGTGTGGTGCCTTAGCTTTAATCCTCGGTATCAAGACAGAAAAAAAAATAAAGCTGTGACCTTTATAAAAGCCAGCTTGAGAGCTGGAAATGTCACCCTGGCCCTATACATTTTTCCCATTTTAATGCAGGAGTCTCTACAGTCATAGGCTGTGACAAACCCTGCTCTAAGTGGGGGCGTGACTACTTACCTATTAACCCTTTTGTTCAATGGGGGCAAGACTCATCTACGATCCTAAGGTGACTTGAGAGACTGTGCACAAAGGGCACAGGGCTTGTTGAGCTATTTGTACCTACCTTCACATAGGCATCCGCACGGGCGAGGGCATTCCTTCTAACTCAGATCACATCGCCCATCTACCTGCACCCCACAGCTCAATAAATGTGATTGTCCTTGCCCAGGTCAGTGCCTACGGATTCATCACAAGCAACTACCAGAAATACTCTAACCACTATTTCGACCAAAAGAAGAAGCGGCTGGTATTCTATGCGAACCACGATCTGTCCCTGGAGGCTGCGCTGTGGAGAGACCTACACAAGGCTGGCATCCTTTGGCTGTACCAGCGCTGACACCACAGCACCAACTTTGCTTTTTGCAGAGCTGCAGCTCTGATCCCAGGTGGCAAAAGCCCTTTTTCTCAGTCTTCGGAAGGGGCATCATTCCCTTGACCCTCCACTTTCCAACAGGAGTACTGAGACAGACTCACGACTGCTTCCAAAGCCTGTTCAATTCAGGACGCCATCTTGACTCCTGACAACTCCTCTGGGTCTGAGACAGACATCCCCACCTTCACCAAGGGGGAACAGACTGCTTTGCTTGATTGGTTTTAAAGCTTGTACTCCCAAAGTAAGACTGACTGTCACCAGCCAAAGGCAGGTACACCTCAGAGCCAAGCAGTTCAAAGCCAGCACCAACCTGCTCCTGAGTCATCCGGGCCATTGGTAACCTTGATCACATAGTGGTGTGCGGCAATGCCCAAGGCCAAACCAACTGGCAGGTGGAGCCCAGGAAGGCCACAGCTACTCAACCTGTAGCCTCTTTTCTGAGAACATGATTCTAAATTCTGCCTCCAGGTTAAGAGGCGGAGACCAAAGGCAGAATGTAATTTGAGGCTAGATAATAGCATAAATGATGACCATCTTGTCTCTTTGTTGTTGAGGTAGAACGGTAAATGCAAGGTGGCTGTGGAGGGAGGGGTGAGGCAGTTCAGTGGTCTGCCTGGTGGGTCCAGGCACCAGGTTCCACCCCAGCACCACACACAGGTGCAGGCCCTTGGTCAACTGCCCCAAAGCTTGTGGCCACCAAGAGAAATCCCACCAGATGCTTCACCGTTTCAGTCACCAACAAGGCACTGTCGAAAGACCTCAACAGCCCTCACACCATAGCTTCAATAAACCTGAACTTAATGGAGTCCTATGAGCTTCTGAAAGTGATTTTCAGTCTTACCCAACCAAGGTACAATACAGCACTTAACCAAGCCCAGGCATTCACCAGCTTGGCAGGGATGGGTTCACCTCTAGTGATTCCTGGACATTCTTCCCAATGCAGCAATCCAACTAACCAAGGCCCAGGGCAAGCCTCTGGTTCTGTGGTTTGGAAAGAATGAGTCTATCCTAGGAGGACAGGGTGAACTCATATCACCAGTGACCCAAAAGCCAGACACAGTGGGCCTAGCCTTGGGTACAGAGTGAGTTGTAGGCTAGACCATATTTCAAAAAAAAAAAAAAAAATACAGCCAGGCACACAGATTTAATCAGCAGAGGCAGGCAGACCTGTGAGATTGAGGCCAGCTGTGAATACAGGGTGAGTCTCAAAAAGACCAAAAAATAAAAAACTCCAGAGACGTGATCAACAGGAGGTAGGGGGTAAATGAGCTACCAGCACTAGGGCAATCCTGCACCAAACAACCTATGTCCTTTGACATAACACTTGGTTTGGAAACAATATAGTAGAAATGTCACAGAAAGTGGCTCCCACCCAGTCTATCTTACAGAGTGATGTACTGGTATTACTTAAGTAAACCATTGCCTTGGGAAACCTGACACCCTTTAATCCACAACACTTTCCCCCTCAAAACTGTAGAAACCAGAAGTTCCATTATCAATGTGTCATTAGATTTCTTGAAAAGTATTGGGTAATGTTAGTGGCAAGCCATTAGAGAAGAGAAAAAAAAAAATCTAAACAGGTTAATTCTCTGCTGTTAAATTTTTAAAGTTTATTTGTGTTTTGAAAGCATAAACCCCAAACACCAACATCTCAGGCTTTTCTAGGCTAAGTTTGTGCTCCCTTTTGCCTCCCAACAGTCTACACCAATTTAACAGCCAAAGGTTCTCTGGGATGATCTGTCACTGGAGTGTGCAGGCTACTTTGCAGAAGCAACTCACAGGTCTCTACCAGTTCTCCCTGGGAAATAACCTGCAAACACAAAGAATAATTTGAAGGACACGGTCAATTAAGTGGCTCAAAAAGGAAAACTGAAGAATTAATCCAGAAACAAGACAACCAGCTTGGGACTCGCCCAGCTATCCACTGGAGGGGTGGGGTCTGTGTGTCAGTGTGCTGAGCAGGGCAATCAGCTTCCACCACGACTGGGAGACGTTTGTTAAGTGGCCAAAAAGAACTCCCACAGCCAGGAGGGACATTTGCATTCAGCTCCCTCTGGACGCAAATCCTGCGTTCTGAGCGGTCAAACCCACTCACGCAGAGCCGAGCAGCCCTTCCTGGGTGGGCCGACCCTTTCACTTTGTTTTCCTTGTTCTGGGGCCAATCTTTAGGCTCATTAAATCTCACCCCCAACACCAACTACTTTGGTGACCAAACAAAAGTGATATTAACTGTCATGAGCCTGGCACAGAGCTCCCAGTTCCCACAGAAAAGGGCAATTTGTGTGCATGTCAAGCCCACTGAAAGAACAAAGGCGCGCGTGTCCCTCCACACCCCAGCGCCACCCTGCTCCTTTCCTGTTCTCATGTTGCTCAGCAAGCAGCCATGACACTCAGGGGACGGAAGCTATACGAAGGGACGTTGCCTGGTGCTGGTAACAAGCCCTTGCGAGGTATGCGGCTCTTCTCCCTAAGTGTCAGGACACTGCTGCCCGTGCAGGGCCACAAAGCATTCTCATGGCCACAGCTGGCACACACTCTGCATCCCCGTCTCGGTCTCAAAGACAAGCACCCTTTGATTCCATGGTATGAGCAGAGCGAGTCCTGGTGGCTTGCCCACTTCTGCTAGGTCATAGGGCCCTTGTGCTCATCAAAGGGCCAAGGATCAACAGGGCAACCAGACATCAGATTTTTGAGTTCTGGAGGGTTAATGCATTACACCTGGTTCAGTGGGGCACACAACTCTTCATGGAATCTGCTCAATTTCATCCTTTATAAAACCCACTTTGGACATAGAGCCACATGACCCCCAAGCCTCAGAATAGATTATTTTCCCTCAGTTGAAATTTTCAGACAGGGATAACTAACCATCATAGGCCTGTGGGGGGACACACAGGAAGCAAAAATCACAAAGAAACAACCCTTTCACTTGCCTTGAACAAAGCAGCTCAGTCTCAGGCCCCATAAACCTAAGAAAGGAAACAAAGTGAATAAAATCTGCCCAGGTACATTGGGAGGGTCTTCTGCTTACATGTATCAGATATTCCACTCCGGGTCCAGACCCAAGTCCAGGGGAGGTGCAGGAAGGCTACAAGTGTGGTTGCTACAAGATCTTTTCAGCCTTAAGAACGAAGGCTAAGACTGCACCTGGTGAGAAGAATTCAACATATATGACACACAAAAGTAATTCTGAAGCACCTCCCTTTAAAACGATGCCAAAACTTTCCCCAAGTATAGCAGGAGCTGAGTTTCAGACATCCACATTCCACAAAGGCCTTTCCTGGCCTTCAGACAGGGATAACTTCACATCATCATGACCTCAGCTCCCACAGCCTGTCAGCCTTTGCACAGAACTTTCTTGTCAAATCAGGTTCCATTCCCCTCATCCTTGTCTCCCTGAACACTGTCCCTACATGACAACAGCTGCTTCCCTCTAGAGTCCCAAGAGGGGCAGGCACACTGCCTGCTCTTAAAGACAGGGTCACTTCCCAGTAGGGAAGCCAAGACAGGACAATGAATTTGAGCCAAGGCCAGCCTACTCTACAGTGGGACCCTGACCCCAAAATGAAATGAAAATTAGCTGTTCAAGGCGCCACACATCTTTAATCCCAACACTCCAGAAACAAGCAGATCTGTGAGTCGAGGCCAACATGGTCTACATAACAAGTTCCAGGCCCGCCAGGGATACACAGCGGAACCCTGTCTAAAAATTTAAAGCTAAAATAAAAGTCACTCTTAGCAACATCTGACAAGTCTTTTTAGAGTCAGCAAAATGCCTGGGAGAGAGCAGATCTCCCAGTATTTCAGCTGTCTACCAAGAGACAGCCAATCAGTACCTGCTACTAAGAGCGGACATTATACATGTGGGGAGCAAGCACAGTAAGCACGTGGCTTTCAGTTTAAGACAGGATTAGAATCTACCCCCAAGCTACTTAAAAATAGCACCACACTATGCTGCAATAAAAGTCCGTAAGCTAAAAGTAGACCAGGCTGTCCAACTGTTTCTACACACCTGCTCTCAGACTGCCTACAAGATAAATTTTTTTAAAGGGGGGGGGGGACGGACTTGACCAGCTCTAGCTGGCTTGGAACTAAGCAGGTCAGGCTGGCCTCAAAACTCAAAGATTCGCCTGCCTCTGCCTCTTGAACACTGGGGTTAAAGGTATGCTCCTCAACACCCAGTCTCACAAGAGTCTTGATCACACCACAGAACAACTCTCATGATGGCCAGAGGTGGAACCCAGGATATGTGTAATTTTAACACTTTCCAGGTGGTTCTGACACATTCCCAGGTTTGGAAACCACTAATCAGGTTTTACAAAAAACCCCACAAAGCTTTGGTGCAGGCCCAAATTTTTCATCTAAAATGCAATTTCCGGCGAGGTATGGGGGCACACGCCTTTGGTCCCAGCACTCGGGAGGCAGATCTTTGTGAGTTCAAGGCCAGCCTGGTCTACATAGTGAGTTCCAGGACAGCTGGGGCTACAGGGAGACCCTGTCTCAAAAAGACCAAAAGAAAAAAACAAAACAAAACAAAAAAAACTAGCTTTGCTTGCATGCACATAAGTGCACCACATGCAGGCAGTGTGTACAGAGGCCAGAAGAGGATGTTGGATCCCTGGAACTGGAGAGGGGCAGGTCAGGCTGGCCTCAAAACTCAAAGATTCGCCTGCCTCTGCCTCTTGAACACTGGGGTTAAAGGTATGCTCCTCAACACCCAGTCTCACAAGAGTCTTGATCACACCACAGAACAACTCTCATGATGGCCAGAGGTGGAACCCAGGATATGTGTAATTTTAACACTTTCCAGGTGGTTCTGACACATTCCCAGGTTTGGAAACCACTAATCAGGTTTTACAAAAAACCCCACAAAGCTTTGGTGCAGGCCCAAATTTTTCATCTAAAATGCAATTTCCGGCGAGGTATGGGGGCACACGCCTTTGGTCCCAGCACTCGGGAGGCAGATCTTTGTGAGTTCAAGGCCAGCCTGGTCTACATAGTGAGTTCCAGGACAGCTGGGGCTACAGGGAGACCCTGTCTCAAAAAGACCAAAAGAAAAAAACAAAACAAAACAAAAAAAACCCCAGTTCTGAACCTGAACATCACCGGCTCTACTGACATTTTGGGTAGATTGGGTCTGTCTCATGATGGCTGCCCTGTACCTTCAAAGATCTTTAGCAAGACCTTCAATCTAGATGTCCCCACCTGAAAGCCACTGACCTAAGCTAACTTATAGCTGGCTAGTAACTGAGCAGAATTCCCCAAGCTTCAGTTTACTTAGGAGTGGTAAAAACATTTTTTAATATCACAAACTTTGTTAAATACAGTTTGTGAGGGTGCTTGCCAAAGAGCCAAGCAGAAAGAATTCCATATTCCCTTATTTAGGCGATCACAATTCTGGAACACCTACAGACACCCAACTCTAAGAGACCAATACTTATTTACAGGCAACCAAAACGTACACTATTCTATGGGAAAGCCAGAAAGATCTGACCACTTACAAAACTTTCATCATGAAGATCCATCTTCACAGCACTTCTCAAAGTCACCAGCCAACACCTTCAATCTAAGAGGGAGATAACACACTTCTCAGGGCAGGTGTTAAAAAGCTGAGCCTCAGGGGCTGAAGAGATGGCTCAGCAATCTTGCAGAAAACCCGGGTTCAAATCCCAGCACCCACATGGCAGCTAACAAGTGTCCTTAACTCCAGTCCCAGGGGATCCGACAGCCTCTTCTGACCTCCACGGGCACTGCAATATAAAAATAATAAA